AAAGGGACTCGATCTCGAAGAGTGTGGAAGTCACTTTCGAAGCTTGATCGATCGATTTTTTTCCCCGATCGATGGACATGCTACGTCTCACTCTTCGTCACCGATACCACATTACGTGAATCTCTATGGCATCCCCTTGTTCTCCTACGTTTCTTTCGTCTCTTTGTTTGGTTTGCTTTCAGCCGCGGATTCGTCGCGAGTCTAGCCGATCGTTCTCCTATTATCTGCCGTTTGTTTCGTGTCATCGTGTGTAGAGAAGATCGTATCCATGCATCATCCACCACCACCACCACCACCACCAAACTACTACTACTACTAATACTACTACTACTACTAATACTACTACTACTACTACTAAACTACTAATACTACTACTACTACTACTGCTACTATTACTACTACTACTACTACTACTACCACCATCACGACACGGCAGATCAGAACCTCCACTGTCGTTAACAATCTCTTTATGTGCACCATTGATATTCGACAGAGTATTTACCCGAGAAAAACTAGGCAACGACGATGGATTTTTCAGTGAAACGAAATGACGGAGAAAATAGACCAAAAAATGCGTTGCAAGGATAAATGAATATATACATACATATACATATATATCCGGTAAATACTCCGCAGTAATATACGTTTTTTAATTCGATTACCACACTCGGTTCACTCTGTATCGTACTTTGATTTCTTTCTCTTCTTGTGGAAACTTCATGCACATTTCCTAACGCGGATGAATGCGCACGCTTCTCTTTTTTCAAACGCTGAACGAGGAAAGGAGCAAACTTTATACCTCACTCTTTTTGTTACCGTTGCTCGCGGAGCGACAACACAAAAGCGTTCCAGAGGAGCTCAACCCTAATTAGAGTTCCGTGGAGCTATAGTCGACACACGGTTTAGTTGACGTATAACGATCATTTTTATACTCGTGAATTCCCTTGCAGTCTCGAGTCTATCCCAAACTCCTCTCTATTTCTTTTTCTTTTTTTTTTTTATACGTCATTCCTTCTTTCTGTCTATCTCGATCCGACTCGAATCAAAGATCTC